CTAAAGGAACGAAATGGAATAAAGTGAAACACTTCACTTTTATTATAATAACTTTGTATAACTATCAAAAACTGGCTTTATATGTTAAAGGAACGAAATGGAATCAAGTGAAACACTTAATTTTTACTTTAAATTAAAAACAATTTAATATAAACGCTTATATAACGCTGTTACAAGAGTAAAATTATCATGAAAAGCTGTTTTTAGGCCAGCGGAACGAAATGGAATCAAGTGAAACACTAAATTTTTTACTTATAAATATGGGAAATCTTAAAGAAATTCTTATTTAAGGATTAAAAGTATAAAAAATTATCATGAAAAGCGTGAAAATGTCAAAGAAACGAAATGGAATTTAATGAAACACTAATATTTTCTCATTTCCTAAACGTTTTTGGCTTAAAACTTACATATAAAATGATTTTATAGACAAATTTTCTTCAGAAACGAAATGGAATCTAATGAAACACTTACATTTCTAGAAGATTTATGAGATTTTCTTCAACTTTTTCAATATTAAAGTTTAATATCCCAAAAATAACTAAAAATACAAGCTGCTCTCCTCATCAGTTTTATCCACATCATGTGTGCATGAATTTGAGTCAAGTGTATCACAACAACAACAATTGATAATAAATCCCTAGCTGATATAAACAACAACAGCAACCGCTTTTTTTCTCTTATTCTCTGGTACTTGATAAATTATGCAAAATACAAAATGTCAGTTAGTTTTAATATGAAGAATAGCAACAACAACAAGAACGGGAGCATCATCATCAACATCAGTAGCAGCAGCAGCCAAGGATATAGCTCCTTGTAAATTATACCAGTGTAGTGGTAATACAGCAAAAAACCCCATATGTTTATGACATTTAAACAGACAAAAAGGGAAAGAGAGAGAGAAAGGGGTAGACTTATAGAGATAGAAAGAGATTTAAATATTTTAAAAACCCCTTTAAGTAAGTGTATTTAATGATGACGCTTATAATGATCATGATGATTATAATAACATATTGTACATAATATGGTTGTTGTTGTTGCTGTTGCCTACTACAACTGCTGATGATAATGGTAATGAAAATTATAATCATCAATGACGTTGTCATTGTCACTGGCTTTTAGAAATGTAATATGCAAGTGTGTGAAAATTTGTCATAAATATGAATGTATTTAGTGGAAAGAGTTTACACATGTTGTTGAAAATAACTACTGCAACAACAACTACAATAAAACATGTAGAAATATTGTTGGCCAAAACCATAAGCGGATTAGAAAAGGCTTTAAAATTTATTGTATTCGACAGACGGACGTTTAGACAAATGGTTGGTTGGTTGGACAGACAGAAAGCGTAGTACATGAACAATTGTTGTTTAAATATTTTACAAGTACATTTGTTATAGTTGTTTTTTTATTGCTGTTGTTGTGGAATTAGTGGAAAATGTAATCAAATATTGATTTTTCGTTTAATTTTGTTTTTTTGTTCCATTCCGTTCCCGTTCTTAAACAAATGCTACAAATAGAAATAAATAACATGACATGGTACAAAACAATTCAAGTGGAATAAGAGAACAACAACAGCAACAACACAAAAATCTTGCTAAAGTCTTTGTCAAGGTAATATTGGGGGAAAAAAACACATGTTTATAATTAAAATAAATATTAATAAAGGAAATGGATTTGAGGCAAATAATGGCAGCCAGAAATAAATCTTTGAAATAAAACTGAAAACAATATTTAAGGAATGCCATGGAATCTAGTGAAACACTTAACAAAACCACGAACACTTCTTAAAAACTAAGAAAACCTTAAAAAACTAGCAAAAACACATAAAAGAAACAAATAAAATGAAAAAAGCATCAAAATTCTAAAGGAACTTAATGGAATCAAGTGAAACATTTTGAACTTAACACGTACAATGTCAAAAAAACCTTTAACAGTAATATAAGAAAAGCTAAAAACTAGAGGAACGAAATGGAATTTTATGAAACACTCAAATTTTGTCCATAATATTGATGTTCTTACCTAAAAACCTTGGAAAAACTAGTTTAAAACACAAAAAACCCACAAGGAACGAAATGGAATCAAGTGAAACACTAATAAAATAATATAAAAGGTATTTTAATCCTTTAAAAAAGCATAAAAAATTACAAAAAAGTATTAAATATCTAAAAAAAATAAAGTGGAACAAAATGGAATCAAGTGAAACACAAAGAAACAACAGAAAATGCTTTATAAATATGTTCAAAATTAAAGACAAACATGCAAAATATCTTCAAAGTTTAAGAATTTCGCTTAGAAAGCCTTTAAGCGAAACAGGAACGAAATGGAATTAAATGAAACATTAAAAATTTTCCTAATACAAATGATGATTAACAGCAAAAATCTAATTTAAAGTGTTTTTATAAAAAATTACATATTTATATGAAAAATTTCATCAAGGAACGAAATGGAATCGCGTGAAACACTTATTAATTTCAAATAAAATGCAGGCAAAACATAAAGCAAAACAAGGAAAATACATAACTTTAAAAAACCTAACCAAATTTGTCACATTTTGTAAAGAAATTCTTAGTGGAACGAAATGAAATCTAATGGAACACCTACAAAATAAAGTTTAAATTAAGCCAAAATTTAAAACGATCAAAGGAAAGTAAATAAAATAACAACAAAATGAAAAAAAAGTAAGTTTTTATAAGGAAACTAATAAAGGAACGAAATGGAATCCAATGAAACACTTACAAAATGTAGTTAAAGTGAAGCAAAACAATTTACAGAAATAAAGAAAAACAAGATAGAATCATGAAGTAGTAAAAAATATAAGAAAATACACTGATAGTCTTTCAACCTAAAAGGAACAAAATGGAATTTAGTGAAACACTAATAAAACTTTGCAAAATATATAGCAATATCTTCTCAACACATGGAAAATCATAATAAATAGTTTGAATGTAACACAACATGTCAAGAGTAGTATTAAATCTTAGAGGAACGTAATGGAATCAAGTGAAACACTTTTAAAATTATATAAAAGTGTTGAAAATTTCTTCGAAACAAATATGAAATCATAGAATGTAATGAAAACATATCAAATGTGACTTTAAATCTAAGAGAACGTAATGGAATCCCATGAAACACTAATAAAACTTGGCGAAAATGATAGAAAATTATTTTAAACCTGTAGAAATTATAGAAAAGAGGTTTTAATTAAAATAAATTCCAGTTTAAATATGTTGCAAGGAACGAAATGGAATTAAATGAAATACTATTTAAAGTTAATGAAAATAAAGCTAAAATTTTGGAAAAATTTAAGTAAATAGTAAAAATTTTTAATACGCATGAAAACCTATTGAAACTGCTTCGAAATAGAAAAGGAACGAAATGGAATTAGGTGAAACATTATCAAAACATCAATAACATTAAGCCAATCTGTTAAAACAAAATAAATAATCATAAAAAATAGTTTAAAAACCATTGTTGTAGTGAAATAGTTGCAAGGGACGAAATGGAATCAAGTGAAACACTAATAAAATTTAAAGAAAATAAAGCTAAAATTAAGGACAAATTAGGGTAAATGGAGAAAATTAAATAAAATGTTTAAAAACTTATTGAAATTGCTTCGAAAATGATAAGGAACGAAATGGAATTAAGTGAAACATTAGAAAAACTTCATTAAAATGTTGTTAATTTGTTTAAAATATATAAAAAAATCATAGAAAATAGTTTAAAATCTTTTGTTTATGTAAAAAAATGTACCAGGAACGAAATGGAATAAAGTGAAACACTAGCAAAAAGTTAAAGAAAAATCAGGTTAAATGTTTTAAAGCCTTTAAAATGCATGAAAATCTATTAAAATTGTTTCTAAAAAGAAGAGAAACGAAATGGAATTAGGTGAAACACTAACAAAACTTCATTAAAATGATGTTAATGTGTTTTAAATTCATAGAATCTCATGGAAAATAAGTTAAATGAATGAAATTTTTTGAAAGCTGCTGTCTTTAGTAAACTTAAATTTTTAGGAACTTTTAAAGCTTTTCAAGCTAAATATGATGACTATATAGGAGAAAATCTTTCACTAGTTTGTTGTCCAGTTATATTACACAAGAAACTCATTAATATTACCATAGATTTGGTCAGTGAAGTAGAAAAAGACTGAAAATAGTTTTGGGTTTATAAAGCAGGAGAAAGAAAATGAAATGAACAGCGCACAGCAGCAGCAACAGTTAAAGGCAAAACTGGAAACTATAAAAAAAGCTATAAATAGAAAAAACTTTAAAAGGAAAGTTTTATATAAAATTATGTTTCTAAATCAATGAATATTACTGTGTTATTTATGTATGTATATTTAAAAAGCATGTTTTTTTAAGATGAAATGTTTTAAAAAATTTTAAAATTTTTTCTAAATTTTTCTTTAATTTTTTTTTTAACAATATTTATAACCTTATTTAAGTCATATTTATATTATAATATTTTTAAAACGCCTGTAAATAGGCTTCAATTTTTTAAATTATTTTTTAACCAAAAAGTATACTTTAAAAAAATTACTAAATTTTTAAAAGAAATTTTTTTATTAAAAAAGTCATAAAATTTAAATTTTAAGTTTTTTTTTATAATTTTTCAAACTTATAAATATGTATTTAATTTTTTTGGAATTTTTTTACTAAAGCACTTTTTTATAACAAAAATTTTTTTAATTAAATTTATTTTAAATTCATAGTCACCTTACATTAATATTAAACATATTAATTATAAAAACTAAAATCCAAAAAAATATATTATATAAATTTAACAAAATTATACTAATTATTGATTAAAAAACTCTATATACAAAACAACAAACTATTTAAAGTTATGTATAAAACTAAATTTTTGAACCAACAAACTCCCTTTTGTATAAAAATTTTAAAAAATTTCTAAACAAAAAATTTTCCCACAATTTCCTTTACTAATATGTGTTTTCGTTTTTTACATTTTCTATTATTCAAATTTTGAATTTCCCTTAATAGCAGACACAAGAAATCGAAGATGAACCAGAGCCCCTGAGCATGGCCTGGCCCGATACTGCCCGTAAACGTTTAACTTATATACTGGTGGCACCGCTTTTAATACCCATGTGGTTGACATTACCCGATACTCGTACGCCCAAAGGTAAAAAACTATTTCCGGTAACGTTTATTGGTTCCATAGTATGGATAGCGGCCTTTTCATATCTCATGGTATGGTGGGCCAATGTGGCCGGTGATACGGCCCGTATACCACCCGAGGTAGGTTTTGTCTAGAAAATCATACTGTTCCCATTATAACATTAATTACATTTTTCTTTTTCCTTAAAAAAGGTTATGGGTTTAACCTTTTTGGCGGCTGGTACCTCTATACCAGATCTGATAACTTCGGTTATTGTGGCGCGTAAAGGTTTTGGTGATATGGCTGTTTCCAGTTCTGTGGGTAGTAATATCTTTGATGTTACCGTGGGGTAAGTTAAATAAATTTAAGATAAACTAACAATTTCAAAAGAAAATGTAACAAGGAACGAAATGGAATCAAGTGAAATAGTAACAAAACTATAATTTTAAAACATTCTCTTTAGTTTTCTAAACAAAAAACTTCATCAAAATTCCTTTAACTAAACCAGGAACGAAATGGAATCAAGTGAAACACTTACAAAACTAATTTAAATAAAGTTTTTCAAACATTCCTTTCAGTTTTCTAAACAAAAAACTCCATAAAAATCCCTTTAATTAAAAGGGGAACGAAATGGAATCAAGTGAAACACTTACAAAACTTAGTTAAAAATAGTTTTTTAAACATTCCCTTCTGTTTTCTAAATGGAAAACTTAACAAAACTGCCTTTTAATAAAAAGGGGACGAAATGGAATCAAGTGAAACACTATTTTATTAAACTAGGAACGAAATGAAATCCAGTGATACACTAAAAAACTTTTTTCTCTGCTACATTTTGTTAAATTTAGTTTTTCAACATTCCTTTCAGTTTTCTAAACAAAAAACTCGATAAAAATCCCTTTTATTAAAAAGGGAACGAAATGGAATCATGTGAAACACTATTAAAACTCTGTAAAAATGGAGTAAATTTAATGAAAAATAGTAAAAATATAATAAAGTACAAGAAAACCTTACAAAATTCCACATAATTGTAAAAGGAACGAAATGGAATCATGTGAAACACTAATAAAACTGTGTAAAAATTATGTCCATTGAATGAATAATAGTTACAATATTATAAAATAAAAGAAAACCTCACAAAAATTCGACATAATTGTAAAAGGAACGATATGGAATCAAGTGAAACACTAATAAAACTCTGTAAAAATGAAGTCAATTTAATGAAAAATAGTTACAACACAATAAAAATTGAAAATAAAATAACTTTGTTAGAAAATATAATCTGGAACGAAATGGAATCAAGTGAAACAGCAATAAATCTTAGCAAAAATATAGCACACTGCTTCTAAAAACATTGAAAACAGGTAAAAGTGGTTTAAATTTAAGAGAACTTGACTAAAGTTACCCTAAACCTAAGAGGAACAAAATGGAATCAAGTGAAATACTAATTAAACTTTGTAAAAAGAAACCCGATTCTTTCTTAACACATGAAAATCCGATAAAAATAGTTAAGATGTAAGAAAATATGGCTAAAGCAACCCTAAACCTAAGAGGAACGAAATGGAATTGAGTGAAACACCGATGAAACTTTGTGAAAATTAAGACAATTTCTTTCTAACACAGAGCAAATCATAGAAAATAGTTTATATGTACGAAAATGCTATTAAACGCAAAAGGAACGAAATGGAATCAAATGAAACACTAGTAAAATTTTGAGAAAATCATGAGAATTTTCTCTAAATACAAGGGAAATCATAGAAAATATGTTAAATTTGGAAAACTTGATAAAATAATGTTAAAACGTAAATGGAACGAAATGGAATCTAGTGAAACACTAATAAAACTTTGTTTAAACGAAGTCAATTTTTTCAAAACACATAGCAAATCATATAAAATAGTTTAAATGTATAAAAACTTGACCAAATAAACACTAAACGTAAAAGGAACGAAATGGAATCAAGTGAAACACTAAAAAAATTGTGTAAAAATTATGAAAATTTCTTCTTAATACAAGAGAAATAATAAAAAACTAAAAAGAAATGCAGTTTGCTGAAAAAATCAATAAGGAACGAAATGGAAATAAGTGAAACACTTATAAAACTTTGTGAAAATTTAAAAAATGTCTTTCTAATATAGAGAGAAAATTATAAAAAATACATTAAATTATTGAAAATACCATTAAAAGCAAAAGGAACGAAATGGAATCTAATGAAACACTTATAATTTTTGTCAAAATTATGAGAATTTCTTTTAAATACAAGAGAAATAATAAAAAACCACAAATAAATGAGTTTAGCTGAAAATATCAATAAGGAACAAAGTGGAATTAAGTGAAACACTATTGAAACTTTGCAAAAATGGAGATAAATCCTAGGAAATCAAGAAAAAGAGTAAAATTTTGCACAAAACGTATTTGGAAAACATATAAACTTTAAAGGAACGAAATGGAATTTGGTGAAACATTAAGAAAAAAATCGAAATTTCTTTAATTTCTGTGTAAACAAAACCTATTTTCCTAATTATATGCATTAAGAAACGTAATGGAAACTAGTGAAACACCATTTTTTAAAAGTTAATTTAAAGTGGTTTTAAACTCCCAAATTTATTATACAAAAAATCACTTAAAATATTTAAATAAAAATCTTTTATTTATAGCAAAAATATTTAAATTTTCTTTATCAAAAATAATCATAATCACATTTAAAAATGCTTATGACTACGCAGCAAGTGTTTTTGTTAGCTCGTTGCCAAATTGTTAAAGTAATAAATGTAACATTGATTACCCCTTTGCCAGTATAATTTACACACTTATTGAAAATGTCTGTGTGTGTGTGTGTGTGTTTTTCAATGGTTAATGATATTTTAATGGCTTTTAAACGTTTTACTTTTCAAAGGAAATGTTATAGATATTTTTCAATTTAAAAATTCACGTTTTTTCCTCAAATAAGCTAAATAAAACGTGCTGTGAATAAATTTATTGTTAAAGAAAATTTTTCTAAAAAAAAAACAAACAAATAGAGAAACAAATAGAAAGCCTTAAAATGGGCTAAATTTAAGCTTATTTTAAAAAGCCTAAAATTATACTTTAGAAATTTAATGTCAGCATTTCTTTGAAAATATGTTTAGCCTCACTGTTGTTAAAAGTTTATAAACATTTTAGTGATTTTTTACAGTTTTTCTGTAAAACTGCCTGCTAGACAAACTTTACCTTTAGCCTTTTCTTGGTCTCAACTTTTTTTTACATTCATTCCAAATAACTTTTAATATTGCAAAATGTCTCTTCAACATTTTATGACAAAATAGTTAGAAAACCAAGTTTATCTACCTCAACATGGGAAACAATTCCCTCTGTTCTTAAGCAAGAGAAAAAAACAGATGTGGTTTTCATTTCCTTTTATTTTTTGCCAAATTTTCAATGCAAAAAGTTTTCTAATCTGCTGCATACTAACTTTCAGTTTTTCTATCATTTTTTTTCTGCTACATTTTCCTTGATGGCTTCTAAATAAACTTTTGTAATACTTTACCTATTGTTGCCTTAATAAATTCTATAGTTAAAAGGAATATTCATCTAAAAGTAACGGAAAAGTTTTAGTTAACTTAGTAACTATTTGAATGATATGGTGATTTCATTTGAGCAGAAAAAAAATTCAAATTTTTGAGAAAAAACACAAGAGTTTTGATTAGATTTGCATACAAATGTTTGCAGAAGCAAAACAGAACTAGGACAGAACTAGAACAGAACTAGAACAGAACTAGAACAGAACTAGAACTAGAACAGAACTAGAACAGAACTAGAACAGAACTAGAACAGAACTAGAACAGAACTAGAACAGAACTAGAACAGAAGTAGAACAGAACTAGAACAGAACTAGAACAGAACTAGAACAGAACTAGAACAGAACTAGAACAGAACTAGAACGAACTAGAACAGAACTAGAACAGAACTAGAACAGAACTAGAACAGAACTAGAACAGAACTAGAACAGAACTAGAACAGAACTAGAACAGAACTAGAACAGAACTAGAACAGAACTAGAACAGAACTAGAACAGAACTAGAACAGAACTAGAACAGAACTAGAACAGAACTAGAACAGAACTAGAACAGAACTAGAACAGAACTAGAACAGAACTAGAACAGAACTAGAACAGAACTAGAACAGAACTAGAACAGAACTAGAACAGAACTAGAACAGAACTAGAACAGAACTAGAACAGAACTAGAACAGAACTAGAACAGAACTAGAACAGAACTAGAACAGAACTAGAACAGAACTAGAACAGAACTAGAACAGAACTAGAACAGAACTAGAACAGAACTAGAACAGAACTAGAACAGAACTAGAACAGAACTAGAACAGAACTAGAACAGAACTAGAACAGAACTAGAACAGAACTAGAACAGAACTAGAACAGAACTAGAACAGAACTAGAACAGAACTAGAACAGAACTAGAACAGAACTAGAACAGAACTAGAACAGAACTAGAACAGAACTAGAACAGAACTAGAACAGAACTAGAACAGAACTAGAACAGAACTAGAACAGAACTAGAACAGAACTAGAACAGAACTAGAACAGAACTAGAACAGAACTAGAACAGAACTAGAACAGAACTAGAACAGAACTAGAACAGAACTAGAACAGAACTAGAACAGAACTAGAACAGAACTAGAACAGAACTAGACAGAACTAGAACAGAACTAGAACAGAACTAGAACAGAACTAGAACAGAACTAGAACAGAACTAGAACAGAACTAGAACAGAACTAGAACAGAACTAGAACAGAACTAGAACAGAACTAGAACAGAACTAGAACAGAACTAGAACAGAACTAGAACAGAACTAGAACAGAACTAGAACAGAACTAGAACAGAACTAGAACAGAACTAGAACAGAACTAGAACAGAACTAGAACAGAACTAGAACAGAACTAGAACAGAACTAGAACAGAACTAGAATAGAACAGAACTAGAACAGAACTAGAACAGAACTAGAACAGAACTAGAACAGAACTAGAACAGAACTAGAACAGAACTAGAACAGAACTAGAACAGAACTAGAACAGAACTAGAACAGAACTAGAACAGAACTAGAACAGAACTAGAACAGAACTAGAACAGAACTAGAACAGAACTAGAACAGAACTAGAACAGAACTAGAACAGAACTAGAACAGAACTAGAACAGAACTAGAACAGAACTAGAACAGAACTAGAACAGAACTAGAACAGAGTGGGAACTAGAACAGAACTGATCTCTCTTAGAAAACATTTATCTTATTGATAAAGTGCAGCAAATTTAAGCAAACAATCTACCACAATAAACATGACATTTTAATATTTTTCTTGAA